TGGGGATGAGAGAGTGTGACTCACCCAAGGTCACTCAGTAGGTTTCCATGGCTGAGTGGGGATTTGATCTCCAGAGTTGTACACTGAAAGCTCTATTCTGACTCTCCGCATGGCTAGTTCTTGAAATTAGAAAAGTTGTACAAAGTAAAATTGCAACGAGGTTGTGGTGGATTGAAGAAAAGGAGCAGCAGAATGGACAAAAAGGGCACCTCTAATTAGGAAAGCTAAGCAGGGTCAGTCCTGGTTAGTGCTTGGATGGGAAGCCACCAATGGTACTTTTGGCATTATTTCAGAGGGAGAAAACTGCAATCCGCTTCCAAGTATTCCTTGCCAAAGAGACTCTCTTGAATGTCATTGGGTCTCTCTCTATACGTCAGCAGGCGACGTGAAGGCTCGCATACAAAGGATGCAGATCAGTGAGGGAGCCTAATTGGAAGGATCTCATTAGTATCTTGTGACCTACCTTGGCTGATAAGAGGATTTCTTCATGGTATGGTTTACCTATCAATTTCCTCTTTGGCTAGAGCTTTGCGGTGTTGCACACCAAGGGATCTCTGCCAGAGCTATCACTACTTGTGTCTCATATTCTATTCTTGTGCCTAATTGTCATTTGTCTGGGTTGTTGTAGGTTTTTCGGGCTGTATGACCATGTTCTAGAAGCATTCTCTCCTGATGTTTCGCCTGCATCTATGGCAAGCATCCTCAGGGGTTGCTTGCCCTGTTGGAACTAGGAAAATTGGGTTTCTATATCTGTGGAATAATGTCCAGGGTGGGAGAAAGAACTCTTGTCTGTTGGAGCTAGGTGTGAATGTTTCAACTGACCACCTTGATTAGCATTTGATGGCCTGGCAGTTTTTTTGGTGTGGCTTGTTAGTGCCTGGGGGAATCTTTTGTTGAGAGGTGATTAGATGTCCCTGTTTGTTTCCTCTCTGGAGTTTCCCTGTGTTTGAGTGTTGTTTTGCTGTTATAATTTCATTTATTTATTTATCTAAAACATTTATATTCCGCCCTTCTCATCCCGAAGGGGACTCAGGACGCAGCACAGCATATACACGGCAAACATTCAATGCTGGGACGGAAATTCTTACATACACACATAAACATTAAAAACATTTATCACAATATTAAAATACACCATTTAAAAACATCCCAGTCATCCACGTCAAATCTAATTGGCCTGGTCATCTTTCCTATTGCTGCTTTATTGCCTTGTCCCGAAAGCTTGGTCCCACAGCCAAGTTTTGACCATCCTTCTAAAGGACAGGAGGGAGGGGGCCGACCTGATCTCACCAGGAAGGGAGTTCCATAGCCGGGGAGCAATCACCGAGAAGGCCCTGTCTCTTGTCCCCACCAATCGTGCCTGTGACAATGGCGGGACGGAAAGCAGGGCCTCCCCAGAGGATCTTAATCTCCACAATCGTGCCTGTGACAATGGCGGGACGGAAAGCAGGGCCTCCCCGGAGGATCTTAATCTCTGTGATGGTACATAGAGGGAGATGCGTTTGGACAGGTAATTTGGGCCGGGGCCATTTAGGGCTTTATAGGCCAAAGCCAGCACTCTGAATTGTGCCCGGTAGCAAACTGGCAGCCAGTGGAGCTGGCGTAACATGGGAGTTGTATGCTCCCTGTATACCACCCCAGTTATTAACCTGGCTGCCTCTCGCTGGACTAGTTGAAGCTTCCGAGCAGTCTTCAAAGGCAACCCCACGTAGAGTGCATTGCAGTAGTCTATCCTAGATGTAACGAGAGCATGGACCACTGTGGCCAAGTCTGACTTTCCCAAGGTATGGGTGCAGCTGGCACACAAGTTTTAATTGTGCGAACGCTCCCCCGGCCACCGCTGCAACCTGGGATTCCAGGCTCAGTGATGAGTCCAGGAGGACCCACAAGCTTAGAGGGTTTGGATGCTGCTGCTGCTGCATTTGGTGGTCCCTCTGTAGACTTGTCCACAGCTTCATGGTATACGGTAGACTCCTGCAGAGGTGAGAGGATCCCTCTTGTCCTATACAAACTATCTATTTACTTACTTAGGCAATCCCTCGTCCGAGTAGGATGGTCCTCCAGGATGAGTGTGCAGTGGGTCTGTAGGTGGCTGTGGAGCCTTAGTCTTGACCTGCATCTTCTCCCGCAGTGAGGGCATTGGTTTCCAGGTGGAAGGCGGTCTCGGTCAGGGTTGGCTTGATGCGCCTTCCTCTTGGCACGCTTCTCTCCTTCGCCCTCCATTTGTGCCTCTTCATATTCTACAGCACTGCTGGTCACAGCTGACCTCCCGTTGGAGCGATCAAGGGCCAGGGCTTCCCAGTTCTCAGTCTCTATGCCAGAGATTTTAAGGTTGGCTTTGAGGCCATTTTTCAATCTATTTTCCTGTCCACCAACATTCCATTTTCCGTTCTTGAGTTCGGAGTAGAGCAATGGCTTTGGGAGACGGTGGTCAGGCATCCAGACAACGTGGCCGGTCCAGTGGAGTTGATGGCGGAGGAGCATCGCTTCAGTGCTGGTGGTCTTTGCTTCTTCCAGCACGCTGACATTTTTCCGCTTGTCTTACCAAGAGGTTTTGTAGGATTTTCGGAGGCAGCACTGATGGAATTGTTCCAGGAGTTGCATGTGACGTCTGTAGACAGCCCACGTTTTGCAGGCATAGAGTGGGGGGGGGGGGGGAATACCTTTATAAACAAGCACCTTGGTCTCCCTACAGATGTCCCGGTCCTCAAACACTCTCTGCTTCATTTGGAAAAATGCTGCACTCGCAGAGCTCAGGCGGTGTTGTATTTCGGTGTCGATGTTGACTTTGGTGGAGAGGTGGCTGCCAAGGTAGCGGAAATGGTCAACATTTTCTAATGTTACACCATTAAGCTGTATCTCTGGCATTGGAGAGGGACTGGCTGTTGCCTGCTGGAAGAGCACTTTGGTTTTCTCAATGCTCAATGACAGGCCGAGCTTCTCATATGCTTCTGCAAAGGTGTTTAGAGTGGCGTCAGTCTTCTGAATGTGCACAAACGACATTATCATCAGCATACTGGAGTTCTATAACAGATTTTGTTGTAACCTTGGTTGTGGCTTTCAATCTGCTGAGGTTAAATAAGATTTAAATAAAGAACAAAACTCAACACAGAGGGGAACTCCAGACAAGAAACAATCAGAAACCGCTAATCACCTCTCAACAAAGGATTTTCCCAGGCAGTAACAAGCCACACTTAAAAACTGTCGGGCCATCAAATGCTAACCAAGGTGGCCAAATGAAACATTCACACCTACCTCCAACAGAAATGAGTTCTTTCTCCCAGGAAGTCCAGACAAGAAACAATCAGGAACAGCTGATCACCTCTCAACAAAGGAATTTCCAAGGCAGTAACAAGCCACACCTAAAAACAGTCAGGCCATCAAATGCTAACCAAGGTGGCCAATGGAAACATTCACACCTAGTTCCAACAGACTAGAGTTCTTTCTCCTGGGAAGTCCAGACAAGAAACCACCAGGAACAGCTAATCACTTCTCAACAAAGGATTTCCCCAGACAGTAACAAGCCACACCTTGAAACTGCTAGGCCATGAAATGCTAATCAAGGTGGTCAATGGCAACATAGAATCATAGAATCAAAGAGTTGGAAGAGACCTCCTGGGCCATCCAGTCCAACCCCATTCTGCCAAGAAGCAGGAATATTGCATTCAAAGCACCCCTGACAGATGGCCATCCAGCCTCTGTTTAAAAGCTTCCAAAGAAGGAGCCTCCACCACACTCCCGGGCAGAGAGTTCCACTGCTGAACGGCTCTCACAGTCAGGAAGTTCTTCCTCATGTTCAGATGGAATCTCCTCTCTTGTAGTTTGAAGCCATTGTTCCGCGTCCTAGTCTCCAGGGAAGCAGAAAACAAGCTTGCTCCCTCCTCCCTGTGGCTTCCTCTCACATATTTATACATGGCTATCATATCCCCTCTCAGCCGTCTCTTCTTCAGGCTAAACATGCCCAGCTCCTTAAGCCGCTCCTCATAGGGCTTGTTCTCCAGACCCTTGATCATTTGAGTCGCCCTCCTCTGGACACATTCCAGCTTGTCAGCTCTTACATATTTATACAGGGCTATCATATCTCATCTCAGCCTTCTCTTCTTCAGGCTAAACATGCCCAGCTCCTTAAGCCGCTTCTTATAGGGCTTGTTCTCCAGACCCTTGATCATTTTAGTCGCCCTCCTCTGGACACATTCCAGCTTGTCAACTCTTCACATATTTATACATGGCTATCATATCTCCTCTCAGCCTTCTCTTCTTCAGGCTAAACATGCCCAGCTCCTTAATCCGCTCCTCATAGGGCTTGTTCTCCAGACCCTTGATCATTTTAGTCGCCCTCCTCTGGACTCCTCCCTATGACTTCCCCTCTCACATATTTATACATGGCTATCATGTCTCCTCTCAGCCTTCTCTTCTTCAAGCTAAACATGCCCAGCTCCTTAAGCCGCTCCTCATAGGGCTTGTTCTCCAGACCCTTGATCATTTTAGTCGCCCTCCTCTGGACACATTCCAGCTTGTCAATATCTCTCTTGAATTGTGGTGCCCAGAATTGGACACAATATTCCAGGTGGTGCCCAGAATTGGACACAACATTCACACCTCCCTCCAACAGACAAGAGTTCTTTCTCCCACCCTGGACATTCTTCCACAGATACATAAACCCCACTTGATTGCTTTCCAACAGACTTCACAACCTCTGAGGACGCCTGCCATGAATGGAGAAGAGAATGCCTCTGGAAAACTCACAGCAACCATGAAAACACTTTCCTAGGAAGGAAGGGCAAGAAGGACTGGCAAGGCAGCTTCCCGCTCTGCTACTGCGCATGCTCCGAGAAAAAAAAACAGGAAAACCGGATGTTGAGCGGCTGAGGCGGACGTTGGTGTTGTCCCGAGCGGAAGCGGAAGTGTGGAGATGGCGGTGGCGTGAAAACACTTTATTAGGAAGGAAGGGCAAGAAGGACTGGCAAGGCGGCTTCGCGCGCTGCTACTGCGCATGCTCAGAGGAAAAAAAAAAGGGGAAACCGGATGTTGAGGGGCTGAGGCGGACGTTGGTCCTGTCCCGAGCGGAAGCGGAAGTGTGGAGGATGGCTGTGGTGTGGTGAGCGGTGGGGCGATGGCGCCGATGGGGATCCGGCTGTCCCCGCTGGGGGTGGCGGTGCTGGGCCTGCTGGGCCTCGGCCTGCTCTACCACCTCTACGCGGGGTTCCTGGCCGGGCGGCTGGGCCTCTCCTCGCTGCCCGGGGTCGGAGGGGAGAGCGGGCCGGCCGAGGTGGACCTGCGGGAGCTGCTGGCGGCCTCGGTGGCGGCGGCGGGGGCCGGAGGCGCCGAGGTGAAGCGCGTCCGCGAGGAGGGCGCCCTGGGAGAGCGGCGCAAGGAGGCCGGAGGGGAGGCGCCCGAGAAGCTCACCCGCGGGGACCTGGCCTCCAACCGCAAGATGGTCCGCCTCCTCCGGGGGGCCTTCCCCACCCTCCAGGTAGGCCTCAAAGAGGGAAGGGAGGGAAGGAGGCCATCATAATCATAATGATGAGGCAGGCTGAGCCTCCTTTATCCAGTCTTAGGGTTGGAAGGAAGCTGTCAACAACAACAACAAAACAACAACAATAGTAATGCAGGTTGAGCCTGAAGTAGTAAATAATAATAATATAGCCATTGAAGCCATTGAAATCCACAAGCATGTGGACAATTTCAACAGAAAGGAAGAGACCATGAAAATGAACAAAATCTGGCTACCAGTATTAAAAAACTCAAAAATTATAACAGCTAAACAACAGAGAGGAAAAAAAAACCAGGCACAGATTAACACCTCCCAGCAACAGATTTTCCCAGGCTCAGGCAGGCCTTCAAATGCCCTCTTTTGCCCTCCATTCATGCTTCTTCACATTCTACAGCACTGCTGGTCACAGCTGATCTCCAGCTGGAGTGCTCAAGGGCTAGGGCTTCCCACTTCTCAGTCTATGCCAGAGTTTTTAAGGTTGGCTTTGAGCCCATCTTTCAATCTCTTTTCCTGTCCTTCAACTTTCCATTTGCTGTTCTTTAGTTCACAGTACAACAACTGCTTTGGGAAAAGGTGACTGGGTATTCGGACAATGTGGTCGGTCCAGCGGAGTTGATGGCAGAGGACCATTGGTTCAATGCTGGTGGTATTTGCTTCTTCCAGCACACTGACATTTCCCTGCCTGTCTTCCCAAGAGATTTGCAGGATTTTTCAGGGGTAGTGCTGATGGAATTGTTCTAGGAGTTATTATTATTATATTATTATTATTAACTTTATTTGTACCCCGCTAGCATCTCCCGAAGGACTCGATGCGGCTTACACAGGCCGAAGCCACAAAACACAATATAATAGAAACAGACATCACAAAAGCAGAACAAATCAAACAATAGCAAAATAACAACAATAGCAGTACATCAAGACATTATTAAAACTGGTTCGGCCGGCGCACTGGGTACAAGGGATTAAAAGTGCTGAAATGGCAGGAGGCACGTAGGATTTCAAGTGCGGTGTGCAGTAACGATTTGTTATGCTAAGGTGCTATTTGGAGTTGCATGTGAAGTCTATAGACAGTCCATGTTTTGCAGGAGTAGAGCAGGGTTGGGAGGACAATAACTTTATAAACAAGCACCTTGGTCTCCCTACGGATGTCCCGGTCCTCAAACACTCTGTGCTGCATTCAGAAAAATGCTGCACTCGCAGAGCTCAGAGGGTGTTGAATTTCAGTGCCGATGTTGACTTTGGTGGAGAGGTGGCTGCCAAGGGAGTGGAAATGCTCAACATTTTCTAATATTACACCATTAAGCTGTATTTCCGGCATTGCAGAGGGATTGGCTGGTGAGTGCTGGAAGAGCATTTTGGTTTTCTCAGGCAGTGTTGTATTTCAGGGGGTTTGGACACAATACACTTATCAAGCCAACGAGTGACAGGTGATGGAAAGACAGCTCAACAAAGGCCTTCCACGTTTTGCCAGGTTTTGAAAGATAAGGATGAGAGGCATTCAAGGAAAATGAAACCAATTTCTGAAAGCTTGGAATGACTTAATGTGAGGATATAAAGTTCCAACCATTGTAAATATAGTCAGATGAAGCATCGTTTCAGATTCCTGCTAAGTTTTTGCTCTTGTCTTATGGAAACCTTGCTTGGAAGATTCACGTTTAAGGATTTCTTGCTGTATGGTTTGACTCTTTGTCTCTTGTGATTACCTACTCATGCCTTGGATCAATGTTTCCCTGTTTCTTTGGATTTTATTAGAGATTTTGTTTTTGAACTGCTGAACCATGCCTTGGACTAATTTGTTCCTGCTTATCTTCTTACGTAATTGGATTTACCTATTCCTTTAACGTGTTTTTTTTTACTTTGCAGCTTTTAATTATCTATATAAATAAAAATGTAATGTTTGTTTGTGGGATTAACAGAATTCAAAAACCACTGAATGAATTGACACCAAATTTGGACACAAGACACCTATCAGGCCCACAAGTGACCATCACTCATAAAAACACCGAAAAACACAGCAGAAGAGACTTAAAAAGCAAAAAAAACAACAACATTACAATGCATGCGCAAAACCACACATATATATGCAAACACATATATATACACATATACACAAATATATATACACAGAGAGCACATATAGTAGGGTTAGGAGGACAATAGCTTTATAAACAAGCACTTTGGTCTCCCTACAGATGTCCTGGTCCCCAAACACTTATAGACGCATACCTTCGTGAGCAAAGTTTCTGATGGTGAAGATACTTTTTACAAAACCTTCATATGATCCCAAGCTTTCTATTCTCCTTTGTTCTCTGTGTAGCTGGGAAACCTTTAGCAGCAGTGCCTTTGGGAGAACAGTGAAGGAGGGCCAGCGGAAGACAAGCTTTCATTGTCAGGTTGGAACAGGGTGCCTCCAGTAAACAATGCAGGAAAGCTAGGAGAGGGAGAGATTGTTCTTGCCAATCCTTAGAGTAAGTGTGTGGCCTTTGAAAAGTAAAGGTAACATACTGTGACTTGCCCAGATTAGCCAAGTAGAACATTTGTTCTGATTGTTAAAAGATTCCCTCAGGCTTGTTTGCGGTGGCAGTTCTCCATGGAAAGTGTGAGATTGCAGAGCTCAGTGCTGATAGAATAAAAGAACGATAAGTGTTTCAAGAAAGGGGTGCCTTGGGTGCAGGTGAACAAGTGGTTTGGCATTCCAGCAGCTGTGTCACAAATGGAAGCTATTGTTTTAGTTCCTCTTCTCAGGCCTTAAAAACCGTCCCTTCGCCTCCCAAATGAGGAGAGACATCACATCTGCACGGGGACCTGCCGGTGCAGTTATTGTTTCGTGAAAGCAAGGTGAAATCTTCTGAACAAGGGCACAGACAGAAAAGGAAACACCACCATCTCTGTCTCATCCTGATTTTAGTATCTTTAGTATTTTAGTTTTTTATCTCGAACATGCAGCCCGCTCATTGTTATTTTATTGTGTATGATTTTGCTTTAGCTTTTTTTTGTAATCATATATTGTATGTATTTTATTGTGTTGCTATTGTGTTTTGGTTTTATTTTATTGCAATATGCTGCTGGGCTTGGCCTCATGTAAGCCTCCCCGAGTCCCCATTGGAGAGATGGTGGTGGGGTATTAAATAAAGTTTATTATTATTATTATTATTATTATTATTTAATATTTATATATTTATTTACCACACTTTTTATACTGCCCTTTTCAGCCCAAAGGCGACTCAGGGTGGCGTACAGACTGGCAACAATTAGAACACACATAAATACATAGTTTAGAACAGGTTAAATCACATAGAACAGGTTAAATCACATAGGACCAACCAACTAGGACATTAAGATCATCTGGGGAGGCCCTGCTCTCAGTCCCCCCTGCATCACAGGCGCGCCTGGCGGGAACGAGAGACAGGGCCTTCTCAGTGGTGGCCCCTCGGCTGTGGAATGACCTTCCTATAGATATCAGATCGGCCCCATCCCTGGCTGTTTGAACAAGCATTCGATTAAGCAGTGTAATTGAATATAGGAACACGGATTAATGGATGATGAGATTGGATTCTGATTTTACTGATGAGACGCTAATGATTGTTATATTGATGTTTAATTGTTGATGATGCTATTGTTTTAACTGTCCCATAATCATTTTATGATGTTTTGCATTGATTTTTGCTGTTGTTAACCGCTTTGAGTCGCCTGAGGGCTGAGAAAAGTGGTATATAAATGAAGTAAATAATAAATAAATAAATATAAAAACAATTTAAAACTATTAAAATCAATGACTTCTGGGTTTAAATCCATGTCCATTTGCATCGTTAAGCCGTTCCATATTCATTCACAATACTGAGTTTATCTGGTTATAATGAGGTTCCAAAGTGACACTAAAAAATTCACCTGTTCCAACTTACATACAAATTAAACTTAAGAACAAGCCTACAGAACCTCTCTTGTTCGAAACTTGAGGACAGACTGTACAAGGTTGTTGAATTCTAAGAATGAGTTGTTACCTGCTGGTTGAATTAAGCCATCTCTCTGTTTTTACTGTTAGATAAATTCCGAAGAACACCTTGATGGAGATGACCAGGAGATAATTTCTTGGGACCGCACCATTCCTGAAGACATAAAGAAACAAGTCCAGCCTAATTTTGTACCAGCAGATAGCATCACGGTGTGGATTGATCCATTAGATGCAACTCAAGAATATACAGGTAATGCCACTGAATTAATGGTGATTTGCTTCTTTCGTCTTCTGCATAATCTGATATTTCAGAAGACCTGCTCTGTTTCATGATGGCTGTGAATTTAAATCCTGCTTCCCTACAGTTCAATAAATGGAATCTTAGGCCAGGATGCTGGTTTTGTTTTGATTTCTTTCCTGGAACTGTTTATCAGTGGCAGTCAAGAGAAAGAGGCAAAAGCTCTGAACGCTTCTTGTCCAATGCTTTAGATCAAAAACATAACGATTGCATCTATGCTTGACATAGATACAGGCAAAACGTCAGGGGAGAATGCTTCTAGAACATGGCCATATAGCCTGAAAAAAACTACAACAACCCATAACGACTGCATGTTTTACTGCAGCAACTATTTACTGAAGAACAAAAAGACAGTGGAGGGAAGTGTTGGAATTCAACCCCACACTGCCCAAGGCTCAAGTCCTCAATGAGGAACAGTTTAGTTAGCTTAGTATAGACTAAGGGTTTTCCTTCCCCCATGTCTCCTGTATGACAGTTGGGAAAGTATCTAATTTCTTCTCTCTTCTTCCTTTCCCCTCTCCTTCCGCTTGGTTGTTTTAAATGGATGCTTTTCTACTGCAAGCTTTTTGAATCTGACTTGTGTCTTCTTACACTTGAGTCTGGAAAGTATGTGCTGTGTGCTTTGAGATCTCTCTCTGCTTGTGTCTCAGGAGAGATGTCGTGATTGGATGATTTCCCCTCTCTTGAAACCTTAGACAAGATGGGTGTTGGAGTAGCTCAGACCCAGTTTTTGATTATTAAGAAATGCAGTTATTATCTATATAAATAAAAATGTAATGTGCGTTTGTGGAATTAACATAACTCAAAAACCACTGGATGAATTGACTCCAGATTTGGACACAATACATCTATCAGGCCAATAAGTGTTCATCCTCCCTAAAAACACACACACAAAACCCAGCAGAACGGACTTAAAACCTCCCAAAATAAACTATATATACATATACACATACATTCATATATATATATATATACACATGCATACATACATACACACACACACACATGTACACAAGCATACACAAATATACACATACATATAGACATGCAGACATACATGCACACATACACATATATTTACATATACACATGCATACATACACATATATGCACAAGCACACACATATACACAATATACATATACACATATACACCCATCTATCTATCTATATATTTGTGTATATATTTATGTTGGCACATATAGATAGATATAGATATATACACATATACACACACAAAAAACCATATACTCAGACTGGGCCACAGCAATGCATGGCAGGGGACAGCTAGTCTATATAAATAAAAATGTAATGTTCGTTTGTGGGATTAACATAACTCAAAAGCACTGGACGTATTGACACCAAATTTGGACACAATACATCTTATCAGGCCAGTGCGTGACCATCACTCATAAAAACACTGTAAAACACAGCAGAAGAGACTTAAAAAGCAAAAAAGAAAAAATACATTACAACGCATGTACAAAACCACATATATACACAAACACACATATCTATATAAATAAAAATGTAATGTTTGTTTGTGGGATTAGCATAACTCAAAAACCATTGGACAAATTGACACCAAATTTGGACACAATACATCTTATCAGGCCAATGAGTGACCATCACTCATAAAAACACAGGAAAACACAGTGTAAGAGACTTTAAAAGCCAAAAAAATAGAAAATACATTGCAACGCATGCGGATAACCACATATATACACATATACACAAATACATACACACACATATATACACATAAAACACATATACACAGACTGGGCCACAGCAACGTGTGGCAGGGGACGGCTAGTTGTAAATAAACCTTTTGTGATTTTTTTTTTATAATTGCATGTTTGCCAACTAAGCTCCGAATTCTTTACAGCCACATCACTTGGCACTTTACGCTCTTCTTGCTAATGAGCCAATGCACAATTTTTTGTATCCAGTTTGTTTTTGGATGCTGTTTATTTTAGGGTAATTTTCCCTAACAGGAAGCACATATAATACCAAAAAATTGGAAGTGAGACTCCCGTGAGCGTTAAACTGGTGTGTGTGATTGCCTTCACCCTGCGTGGCTCTAAAGCTCTTACGTTCTTACCCTTCAGAGAACCTTCGCCAGTATGTGACTACAATGGTGTGTGCGGCTGTGAATGGAAAACCAGTTATAGGAGTAATACACAAGCCATTTACTGGATACACAGGTATGGGGGCGTATTTTTTTGCCTGTTTACAATAGTTTTGAAATCGTGGCCCATTTTTGTATTTGTTTACAATATTTTCCAGATATCTTGGCCCATTTCTTATAGTTTTTCCAGGGACAAATACTGTAGACCAGGCATGGACCAACTTTGGCCCTCCTTCCAGGTGTTTTGGACTTCAACTCCCAGAATTCCTAACAGCCTACCAACTGTTAGGAATTGTGGGTGTTGAAGTCCAAAACACCTGGAGGGAGTGCCCAAGTTGGCCTGTGCCTGTCGTAGATGTTCTCTTGGATTATGCAGGGCCTCCCCAGTGCAGTTGTGGTCAGTGTAAGGGAGTCTTTGGCCTTGCAAACCTCTTAGGAGCATGTGCAGGGTTCCTGGAGAGAGAGATTGGGGCTTCCTAGAGTGGGCAAGGATCGATGACATCACAGGAAAGCTGCCAACAACGCGAAGTTGTTGAAGGCCTGCAGCCCACAATACACTGACCGTTTGCCTCTGTTTTGCAGCCTGGGCGATGGTGGGCGGAGGAGCCAACATCAAGGCACGGTCTTCCTACAACGAACAGACACCCACCATCATCGTGTCCCGGTCCCACGAAGGGAAAGTGAAGCAAGTCGCTTTGCAGACCTTTGGAAATAAGACTGTGATCATTAAAGCTGGCGGTTCAGGTTTGTAGTTATTGTAAACTTTGTGGTCGATTGCGAGCATGGGCCAACTTGGGCCCTCTGGGTGTTTTTGACTTCAACTCCCACAATTCCTAAAAGCTGGTAGGCTGTTAGGAATTTATTTATTTATCTACTTACCACATTTATATACCGTCCCTCTCAGCCCAGAGGTGACTCGGAGTGGAATTGTTGCTGCAATTGTAAATTTTAAATGCTTGGTGGGAGAAAATTCTTAATGGCTAGTAAATTATTTGCCATGCCCAGGGATACTCTGTGCGGTTGGCAAAGAAATACGTCAGCAAAATGGCATATTGCCAGGTTTTTGATTGTCGTTTCTCTTTACATACTGAAGAAATAAATAAGAAATAAACGTTATTTATACACCTCTCTATTTCCCCTAAGGGACTCAGGGCGATTAACACGTAGTCAAAAACAACACAGAAAACATACAGAGTAACCATTTAAAACATAGGCATAAAATCCTTAACACAAACATACATTAAATCCAGTTCCAACACTATTCTATATTGTGCAAAATAAGCTACCAGGGGAGGGGGGGGGGGGGCTCAGGGCGGCTTCCAGCCAGCAGCAATTCGATTCCTCTAATGTACACATAATAAAATCTATATAAATAAAAATGTAATATTAGTTTGTGGGATTGACATAACTCAAAAACCACTGAATGAATTGACACCAAATTTGGACACAAGACACCTCTCAGGCCAACGAGTGACCATCACTCATCAAAACACTGAAAAACACAGCGGAAGAGACTTTAAACGCCAAAAAATAAAATAAAAAATACATTACATTACAACATATGCACATAACCACATAAATACACATATACAAAAATATATATACACACAACACACATATACACAGACTGGGCCATAGCAATGTGTGGCAGGGGACAGCTAGTACATAATAAACTCCAATAAAATCCAATAATTACATACATTTAAACATTTAATCACATTAATTAATTAAAATTGATGATTGTAAGAGGTACACAGCAGCATTGAAAACTCGGAACCATCAACAATGTAACCAGTAAAACCATTTTAAAAAGCCGCAAATCAAATTTACATATTGTAATACATTGCAATCTACATATTTATGAAAGGCTTGGTGATCTCAGGGACTTGTTATTAAGTTTCTCTAATTATGGGCGATCAGCAGATCATAGTTCTGGAAGAGTCCAGAAATATGATAAGATCTGCTCTAATACAACACGGTCTGCTCTGTCCACACTTCAGATCCTGGAGCGATGCAGGATATCATTGTTCCTGCAATGAAAAAAGGTTCTGTGCCAAGGAAGGAGTTTCCCCTGAGCAAATAACCTGAGTCAACAAGCTTTGTTTGTACTTCACTTTTGTAGGGAGATGGAGCCTCGTACAAACCTAGCCGTGCATTTCCGAAACATGTACCATATTTTCCGGCATAGAAGGCGACTGGGGTTATAAGACAACCCCCCAACTTTTCAAGACAAAATACAGATTTATTTATTTATTTATTAGCAACATTGATATGCCGCCCTTCTCACCCCAAAGGGGACTCAGAGCGGCTTACAAGATATATACACATACAATATATTATATTATTATCATAGTACAATATCAGTATTAGATATTACTATATTGTACTATACCATTATATTGTAATAGTATTAGTAATATTACATGTAATATAAATATATAATTATAATATATTGTTAGTATATTGCATTACATTATAATATTATAAATATTATATGTATATATAATTATATTATATTATATTATTAGAATAGCACAGGAGACAAGGTGGAACTATCTTCCTGCCCCCCCCCCCCTTTACTCTGGCCCAGGGCAGCAGTTGGTGCTGGGGGGGGGTCCCCAAAAGTTAGGGGTATTCTCACCATTTAAGACAACTCCCCATTCCATGGAGACTGGCTGGGGGCGATGGCCCGCTGGGCTGTCCCTGCAGCCCCTGCCACTCTACTTTCATGGCCCTCCTCTGCCCCGCCGCTAACCTCTTCTGAAGGCCACTGGGCTCACCTTAGGCCCAAGGAAGCGCCTCCAGAAGAAGACTCCCAGCAGCCCCGGGAGGCAGCATGCCTGGGATGTGCTTGCTGACGCATTCTGAGAGCTGTAGGAGTCAGGGAACTCTGGCTCCCAGAATGCCTCAGTGAGCACATAATAATAATAATAATAATAATAATAATAATAATAATAATAATAATAATATAAACTTTATTTATACCCCGCCACCATCTCCCCAATGGGGACTTGGAGCGGCTTACAATGAGGCCAAGCCCAAACAACAAATTACAATAGAATAAAACGGAAAACACAAATCAAAAACGCCGCTGCCAGGGCTTCTGGGAGTCATCCGAAGGTGCTTCCTTGGGCCTAGACGAGCCCAGTGGCCTTCGAAGGAGGTGAGCGTCAGGGGCAGAGGAGGGCCATGAAAGTAGAGCGGGGAGAGCGGCGGGGACCATCACCCCCTGGCCATGGCAATACAGCCTGCTGCTCCTGCTCCCCATGCTCTCCCCCCCCCCTCCACCCTCTTCCACCACCTCCCACCTCAGGCCACACCACTAAGGTAGTTGGATTTGATTATTTTCTTTTAATTATTATTTTTTAAATTTTATACCCGGCGTACTAGATGACCCCTGACTTTTCATAAGATTTTCCAGGCCTAAAAAGTTGTCTCGTACATCAGAAAATATGATAGTTGCCTTGTTTAAGGGCCTGAATTGTGTAATATTTTTTAAAAAAATATTTTTATTGATTAATATAAGCATAAAAAATTAGAGTGTAGTTAAAGACAAAAGGGGGGGGGAGTGTAGAAAGTTATTTGTTTTCATATGGAAAGTGGGGGAACAATTCACTGATAGAATASTAGGAAAAAGGAAGAGGAGAGAGAGAGAGAAAAGATAGAAAAAGAAGAAAAATGATATATATATATGTGTGTGTGTGTGTGTATATATATATATACCATAAAAATAAAAATAATAATAAAATGAAAGTATAGATTTGACTTCCATTCCTGTTCATGGCAGTTCATAATTTTTATATACATACACACACACACGCACACACCGTATATTCTGRTGTATGCCTACTTTTTAACCCAATAAAATCTTCTCAAAAGTCAGGGGTTGTCTTATACGCAGGAGTAGTCTTATAGAGCGGGTGCTGAAACTTCCAATCAGATTAGAGAATCTGTGGTTGCCGCATATGGTGGGGGGAGCTCAAAAATGGCAGTGGCCACGTCCCTGGCGTATGCAGCGACTGTATGAAAGCATTAAGGGCGACGCTGTACAAGTACGGTAGAAGAAAATCCATTCATCAGGATTTGTGGACTAAATGCGGTCCCGATGGTGAGGTGAAGGGGCACCTCAATGGGAAGGTGTAAGTGAAGGGCGTCCGGGGCGCCTGGGGTATGGAAAAAAAAGATAGAGTGGCTCTGGGCCCAGAGAAACACAACTCTTTTCCCTGTCTGGCCCACCCTTGTATCCTATTACTGTCCCTCCTCCTCTGCCTCTCAGATCTCGCTCCTGAAGACTGCTGTGAAGCGATGCAGGTGCGCATGTGTGAGATCTGAGAGGCAGAAAAGGAGGGACAGTAATAGGAAAATTACCACATTGACATCAAATGTGATGCTTTTTAAATTTTTATTTGGTGTGCGTTGGAAGACAGGTAGTCTTATATGGCAAGTATATCCCAAACTCTATATTTTAACTGGAAACGTTGGGGGTCGTCTTATATGCTCAGTCATTTTATATGCTGAATATCTGGTATTATTATTTTAATTTTATACCCGGCGTACTAGACGACCCCCGACTTTTCATAAGGTTTTCCAGGCCTAAAAAGCTGTCTCGTACACCGGAAAATACGGTAGTTGCCTTGTTTAAGGACCTAAATTGTGTAATGTTAAGTGGGTTTATAGATTCTTGCGTGCTGTAGTTCTATAACGGGCATGGGCAAACTTCAGTCCTCCTTCCCGGTGTTTTGGACTCCAATTCCCACCATTCCTAACAGCCTCAGGACCCTTCCTTTTCCCCCTCAGCTGTTTAAGCGGGTGAGGGGGAAAAGGAAAGGGCCTGAGGCTGTTAGGAATGGTGGGAGTTGGAGTCCAAAACACCGGGAAGGAGGACTGAAGTTCGCCCGTGCCCGGTCTCTAAAATATTTTTGGACAGTAAGCCTTGAATGATTTTCCCCTTAGGGTACAAGGTCCTGTCCCTCCTGGACGTCCCCGAGGCGGATCAGGAGAATGCGGACGTCTACATCCACGTCACGTTCATCAAGAAGTGGGACATCTGCGCGGGCAACGCGGTGCTGAGAGCCTTAGGGGGCCACATGACGACTCTGGCGGGGGAGGAGATCGACTACACGGGGTCCGTCGCCAACGAGGGCGGGCTCATCGCCAGCATCAACATGAACCACAAGGCCCTGCTGGAGAAACTCCCCGTGCAGGACAAGCCTTCGCAGAACTGAGCCTGGGAAAGCGGATCCGTCGAGTCTGGAAACGATCCGTCGGAGGCGGAAACCGGCCTTGGGAACGTGCTGGTGCATTTGGAAGACCACCGATGAGCTCTGGCAGATCGCTGGGACGCATGATGTGTCCAGATGCATTTTGGGGCTGTGTTTGGTGTCCATAACAGAACTGAAGGAATCCATCTCTGTGCCAGTCATAGCAGTACGAATCTTGGGTCCGGTTACTCTTCACATCTTGTTACGACCTCCTTTAAATTGCCAAATCAACAATAATAATAATTATCTGGGCCATTTGAACTCCATGGATGAATATCCTTCATTCCTTTGGGATGTGAAATCTGAAGGAGACTGAGGAATCCTTGCGTGACTCTCGTTCATCTTGGGAACAACTTTAAACGACAAAGGAAATACTTGGATCTACTTTTAATATTTACCCCAAAAAATGCAAACCAGCTTAAATGTGGATGAGAGTGTTAAGAGCTGTGTGGTTTTACATTCATGTACTTTATTATATGTATTATTTTAAAAGAAAGCGTGTTCCCCACCCGTATAGTTTCACGTGTTGAGCGTTACCATTGCACTTGCTCCAGTTCTTAACCTTTGGTGTGGAGCTTACCTATTTGTCACCTGTCCTTTGTTCATTCATGATGAGAGAAATGCAGGGTTTGGATTACAATCCTTGGCCAAAACAGACTTCTGAAAATCCTCTCTCAAGTGTCGTGCCAGAAATTGCATTCCAGAAATGTTACTCAGTCTGTTTCGAACTCTCATCTGGTCTGTTGTGATTTAGCACCTGAGTCTTGCAAACGGATCTCTAAAATCCCTCAAGATGTGAGTGTCACTGATAGCTTCCCTCCCTTTACATTGATCTGTGACAAAGAAGGCTGGCTTTGTTCTCTGAGGCTGGGTTGTAAAGGGTGTAGGCTAATGCTGTAAACAATTTAAATCAACATCAAACCCATTTGATGCTCTGAATCCAGCCTCAATGTCCCCTTTGTGAGGGAGAAAGTCAAGAAAAGCCCTTAGATTTGACCCTCTGGATGATGTTACAATGCCATCTCCAGATCTGTTGTCTCGGTCTTCCCTGCTGATACTACTGTCTCTCAATGTGTGATTACTTGAATGTTTGGTGAATGCTGGGTCAGAAAAATAGGCCAGTGTATGTGCAACTCACAGAAAAACCCCCCACCATTTTACTTTCTGTTTCATTGCAGAGATACTCTTCTTCCTCTGTGTTTTTGGTAGTATGTTAACTTATTTTGGTCACTTGGAAAACAAAAACAGCTGATTAGTAAAATGAAGTGCAGCCCTGGGTTGACCTGTCTGCTCAGAACTAAGTCTCGTCGTTTTCAAATGAAACATTTTGGTTAAAAGTGTAAAAACTGACCTCTCCAACGGTCAGGGGACTTTGTTTTGTTTACGAATTTATGACCACGAAATGCTCCCGGAAGCCACTGTCCCCATCAAGACAGAGAACTCTTCGCGATATTGAGACAGAACAAGTGCCAAGAGGTCAGTGTTGGGTCAGAAATGCTGCCCAAGCAGGGCTTAATGGGAAGGATACTTTCACCAAAAAAAAGTGTTCAGATCACACAGCTTCTCTTCAAAAGTATTGATTTGCAGTTCATTTCCACTCTGACATAAGACTGTTTGAAAATTAAATGCTTTGTAATGGATCCTGCTTTTTGATGATGTTCCCACTTCATGCTCCTCTGCTGATCGCACAAGAATAGGAAATATTGGGGTCGCCTTTTGCCAATGTGGGTCATTGTGGGGGGAGGAGGAAGAGGAGAGGGGACCAGAGCATTTTAAAAGGCAGCCGAAAGAGCGGGACGTCAGTGGGACTGTTATTTTATTATTTTATTTACGACATTTATATGCCGCCCTTCTCACCCTGAAGGGCACTCAGAGCGGCTTACAAGATATATATATTAGGCCTGGGTAACAACGGAAAAATTTGTTTCTAAAATCGATTTGTATTTGGGGGTTTTTTTGTTTCGATATTTAAAATAATTACAAAATTTTCCCTTTAAATAGTTCGGTATTTACGAAATTTCGTAAATATTTACGAATCGTTTCGTTAAGATGGCGCCCGCGTTAGCGCATGCGCAAAGCATTTACGAAATTACGTTATTCGTAAAACCGTCAATAACGAATCGATTATTAAGGTTATTTTTTGAATTTTTTGAAGAATAAAAGAGAAATATTTTTCAGAAATATTTAAAAATGGAAAAATTAACAAAATGCTCGCCCTGCTGTGGAGCAAACAGCCACAAGACAGGGACAAACGATAGCACACAGCCACAGAAGGGTCTTTTCTTTTTTTAGAATATTTTTTGATTTTTTTTAAGAATAAAAGAAAGGTATTTTTCAAAAATATTTAAAAATGGAAAATTAACAAATTAACAAAAACCGCCCTCGCTCTCCCAACAACAGAATTAAGGAATGCAAAAATGAAAGCAAATGAATCAATGCAAGGAATGAATCCAAGCTTAGCCAACCAAGCCAAGCCAATCCAAGCCGCCCTCCCGGACCTCCCGTCTTCTCTTCTCCCTCGCCTCCGCAACAATGAGCAATGCGGCCACGCGGAGCCGCTTTTAAAGGGCTTCCCGGCCAATCACAATCAGCCACGGTGCACTGCTTGGGTGCTTGGGAGCGCCGGATTGGCTCCCAGGGCACCAGCATCCTCCATCCCATTTCCGAAACGGGCGGAAGCTCGTAAAAAGTATGGAGGATGCCGTTTCGTTATTGAAAAACCCTTCCGGGTTTGAAAATATATTTTGAAATCATTTTGTAATTGTTAAATATAACGAATATTTAACGAATTACAAAATTAACGAACGAAACCGCCCAGGCCTAATATATATCTATATAAATAAAAATGTAATGTTCGTTTGTGGGATTAACAGAACTCAAAAACCACTGGACGAATTGACACCAAATTTGGACACAAGACACCTAACAACCCAATGTATGTCCTTCACTCAGAAAAATTGATTTTGTCATTTGGGAGTTGTAGTTGCTCGGATTTATAGTTCACCTACAATCAAAGAGCACTCTGAACCCCACCAACGATGGAATTGAACCAAACTTGGCACACAGTTCTCCCATGACCAACAGAAAATAGTGGAAGGTTTTGGTGGGCAGTGTCCTTTGGTTTTGGAGTTGTAGTTCACCTGCATCCAGAGATCACTGTGGATTCAAACAATGATGGATCTGGACCAAACTCTACATGAATACTCAATATGCCCAAATGAGAACACTGGGGGAGTACCTCCCACACAGAACCCCCATGTGGGCCACAGCAACATGTGGCAGGGGACGGCTAGTGTATATATACACACACACACACACACACACACACACATATATACATACACACATACACATACATACAATATATTATATTAGCATAGTACAATATCAGTATTATATATTACTATATTGTACTATACCATTATATTGTAATATTATTAGTAATATTACATGTAATATAAAATATATAATTATAATATCATATTATTATATTGTATTACATTATTATATTATAAATAGTATATGTGTAATGTATACAATATATTCTATTACATTATTTTATATTATTTTATTAGCATAGCATTATTAACATATTAACACAACCAAGTCTGAATCCGCAAATCCAAATCATAGTCCTCTTAATTGACAATTCTCACGAGTCATTACAGATGTTGCTCAGCCAGCTGCCCGAATGCTGGGTCCCCAAGCCAAGACCTGAGTTTCTTCCTGAAGGAGAGGAGAGAAGGAGTCGCCCTGATTTCACCGGGGAGTGCATTAATAAAATATGTGCATTCATTTGAAATCATGGTAGACTCTCTGAATGTGTCCAACAAAGGACAGCCAAAATGATCAATGGTTTGGAAGCCAAGACCTATGATGAGCAGCTTGGGGAGCTGAGTATGTTTAACTTGGAGGAAAGAGGGATGAGAGGACATGGTAGACTTCACTACCTCTGAGGATGCTTGCCATAGATGCAGGCGAAATGTCAGGAGAGAATGCCTCTAGACCATGGCCATATAGCCCAAAAAAACCTACAACAACCTATGTAACACAGTTTTTGTCCCCGGGTTATAAATGTCATTTCCTAATTATATCAGAAAAAACATGGGAAAAGTTCCTTAAACTTCAATAATTTTATTTTTGCGGAAGGGACATCTTGCAGCACATTTTGCTATAGTTTTTCCATGAATATCTCATCAAGTCTTAACCAATTCAACATAGTTTGTGGCAGTAAAGTTTCTGGAATATAATAACTACTTTCAAAGTAAGTACTGCACAATTAAACAGGCTTAACACTTTCAAACCAGGAACACAACATTTTTTCAAATTTTGTTACATAGTGTTATGGGTGTGTCTTTCATGTTTTGGGTCTTGCAGTTCAAAAGGTGGAATTGTTCCTCCCCGTTTGCTCCAATATTTGTGGGGTATCCATAAAAGTTCAGAAATGTACTTTGGAGAAGAGGTTGTAAGAGCAACTTGCTCTTTTGCACCGTCATTTCTGTTGATTAGGAAAACCATTTCCACTGGACGATTCCTTCCTTTCTGTGGATTGGTTGGTAAGTCCTAGGAAATTCGTTTATTGATGTATGCTTAGGGGCCTGTGTGGACCAGAGGTGCATCCACACGGTAGAATTAATACAGTTTGATCCTACTTGAACTGCTATGGAAGCGTGGGAATTGTAGTTTGGTGAGGCCCAAGAGAAGGCTATAGACTTTGTGGTTCTATAACATTGAGTCATGGCAATTCAAATGAAGTCAAATTGCGCCAATTCTACAGTGCAGGTGCACCCCAGGTCTCTAGGCGACGATGAGGAGCCACCTTGGGAAGGCAACACTCTCTCAACCTCAGAGGAAAGCCTTTGCCTCTCATGAGGCAAAAAAAGTGTAAGGCTGTCCAGTGAGTTTCCATGGCTGGGCAGATGATTCAGATCTGGCATCATGGTCCCAACACACAATGACACTAGTTCCAACAGACCTCACTACCTCTGAGGATGCTTGCCGTAGATGCAGGCAAAACGTCAGGAGAGAATGCCTCTAGACCATGGCCATACAGCCCGAAAAAACCTACAACAATCTAGTGCTTTCGGCCATGAAAGCCTTCGACAATACAGTTCCTTATCTCTTCTGTCTAACCTCTGGAATTGCGCATTTAACTGGGCTTATCTCCCCCTATCACTGTAAATCTTAATATAAATATAAATTTTAATAAATATAAATCTTTATATTTCAATTATTCCTTCCTATGCCTTTTCTATGCAGTCCAGGTATTTTGCAAATAGAACAAGCAAAAAAAAAAATCAGGATTATGCTCACCTGATAGATATTTATTGCTGGACGAGTGCTTGGCTCTGCAATTAGGCAGCAATAGGGAATCTTAGTGGCTATCTGGATGAGGAAGAACAAGCTGAAGATCAATCCCGACAAGACAGAGGTCCTCCTGGTCAATCGTAAACCGGATTGGGGTATAGGGTGGCAACCTGTGCTGGATGGGATTACACTCCCCCTGAAGTCACAGGTCTGCAGCTTGGGAGTCCTCCTGGATTCATCACTTACACTTGAGGCTCAGGCGTCGGTGGTGGCCGGGAGGGCTTTTGCACAGCTAAGACCCGTGTGCCAGCTGCAATCATACCTCGCGAAGGCTGATCTGGCCGGGGTGGTCCATGCCTTGGTCACCTCTAGATTGGATTACTGCAATGCGCTCTACGTGGGGCTGCCCTTGAAAACGGATCGGAAATTCCAACTGGTCCAACGGGCAGCAGCCAGGATGCTAACTGGTGCCCCTTACAAAGAGAGGTCAACCCTCCTGTTCAAGGAGCTCCACTGGCTGCCGTTTATTTTCCGAGCCCAATTCAAGGTGCAGGTGCTTACCCACAAAGCCCTGAACGGTTTGGGACCAGCCTACCTGCGTGACCGCATCTCCGTCTATGAGCCCACACGTTCACTTCGTTCATCCGGAGAGGCCCTGTTCGCGATTCCGCCTGCGTCGCAGGCGTGTTTGGTGGGGACGCGAGACAGGGCCTTTTCTGTGGTGGCCCCCCGACTCTGGAACACCCTCCCCAAAGATCTTAGACAGGCCCCTAAACTGGCAGTCTTCAGAAATAACTTGAAGACCTGGCTGTTCCGATGTGCCTTTCCAGAATAGGAAAACTTCAATAACAAGTCCCATAAGCACTTTATTAGAACTAAGATCGCTGCACACTGCACTTGCCCTATAATCCCACATACCACCTGTCACATCAGTACTTTTAATTTTGTACCCATTACTCTGGCCTGGGCCAGTTTTTATAGTGTCTTGATGTATTGTTTATTGTTAATATTGCTTTAACTGTTTTTAATTTGCTTTAGGTGTTGTATTGTGTTTTGAGGCCTTGGCCTTTGTAAGCCGCATCGAGTCCTTCGGAAGATGCTAGTGGGGTACAAATAAAGTTAATAATAATAATAATAATAATAATTGTTGTTCATTCGTTCAGTCGTCTCCGACTCTTCGTGACCTCATGGACCAGCCCACGCCAGAGCTCCCTGTCGGCCGTCACCACACCCATCTCCTTCAAGGTCAGTCCAATCACTTCAAGGATGCCATCCATCCATCTTGCCCTTGGTCGGCCCCTCTTCCTTTTACCTTCCACTTTCCCCAGCATCATTGTCTTCTCTAGGCTTTGCTGTCTCCAAAGCCAAAGCCAAAAATGTGGCCAAAGTACTTCCACTTTCCCTCTAGTCTCCTTCCCTCCAGTGAGCAGTCGGGCTTTATTTCCTGGAGGATGGACTGGTTGGATCTTCTCGCAGTCCAAGGCACTCTCAGAACTTTCCTCCAACACCACAGCTCAAAAGCATTGATCTTCCTTCGTTCAGCCTTCCCTAAGGTCCAGCTCTCACATCCGTAGGTTAAAAAATAATAATAATAATAATAATCTATACAAATAAAAATGTTTGTTTGTGGGATTAACATAACTCAAAGGCCACTGGGCGAATTGACACCAAATTTGGACACAAGACACCTCTCAGGCCAACAAGAGACCATCACTCAGAAAAACATGGGAAAACAAAGCAAACAAAACAAAACAAAAACAACCATTGCAATGCATACACAAAGCCACATATATACACATATACACGAATGACAATGTCGTCTGTGCGCATTCAGAAGAAGATCTACAAGCCACTCTAAACACCTTCGCAGAAGCATACGAGAAGCTCGGCCTGTCACTGAACATTGAGAAAACCAAGGTGCTGTTCCAGCAGTCACCAGCCAATCCCTCTCCAATGCCAGTAATACAGCTTAATGGTGTAACATTAGAAAATGTTGATCATTTCCGCTACCTTGGCAGCCACCTCCACCAAAGTCAACATCGACGCCGAAATACAACACCGCCTGAGCTCTGCAAGTGCAGCATTTTCCAGAATGAAGCAGAGAGTGTTTGAGGACCGGGACATCCGTAGGGAGACCAAGGTGCTTTTCTATAAAGCTATTGTCCTCCCAACCCTGCTATATGCCTGTGAGACGTGGACTGTCTACAGACGTCACATGCAACTCCTGGAACGTTTCCATCAGCACTGCCTCGGAAAATCCTGCAAATCTCCTGGGAAGACAAGCGGACAAACGTCAGTGTGCTGGAAGAAGCAAAGACCACCAGCATTGAAGCGATGGTCCTCCAACATCAACTCCGCTGGGCCAGCCACGTTGTCCGGATGCCTGACCACCGTCTCCCAAAGCAGTTGCTCTACTCTGAACTTAAGAACGGAAAACGGAATGTTGGTGGACAGGAAAAGAGATTTAAAGATGGCTCAAAGCCAACCTTAAAAACTCTGGCATAGACACTGAGAACTGGGAAGCCCTGGCCCTTGAGCGCTCCAGCTGGAGGTCAGTCGTGAACAGCAGTGCTGCAGAATTTGAAGAGGCACGAATGGAGGGTGAAAGAGAGAAACGTGCCAAGAGGAAGGCACGTCAAGCCAACCCCGACCGAGACCGCCTTCCACCTGGAAACCGATGCCCTCACTGCGGGAGAAGATGCAGAGCAAGAATAGGGCTCCACAGCCACATACGGACCCACAAGGAAATCCATAATGGAAGACCATCTTACTCGTCCAACGAGGGATCGCCTAAGTAAGTAAGTAAGTACACGAATACACACACAAAACACATATGCACAAACTGGGCCACAGCAAAGTGTGGCAAGGGACGGCTAGTATTAATAATAATAATAATAATTGTATTGCAAATGGGACAAGCACAAAAATCAGAATTATTCCCCCCTGATAGGTCTTTATTGCATAGTTTCCAATTACATTTATTATTCATTGCTTTTTTTTCTAGTGAATGCTGTATAATTCCAATTGGAAATAGAGTTTATTTCCGGCTTCAGAGTGGCTCTTCCCCTTCCCACCTTCTCAAAACACCTGAAACACATCAAGGCTCGCGCTCTTATTTGCCGTCATCAAGCTCTCCTTCCCTGATTGGGCGGCTCCGAAGGGAACGCTTCCCATTGGCCGAACCCAACCCCGCCCCTTAACATCTGGCGCGCGAGTCTTCCCCCTCAGAATCAATAACGGCACCGGGATTGCGATTGGTGGCTCGGAAAGGCGGCCTTTCATCCCATTGGCTGATTCCGGTGCCTATCAATCCCGGGGCGGGACCGAGCGTTGGGCTCCCCTTCTCCTATTGGCTGGCCCCGCTTTTTGGCGCGAGGGGCCTTTGTATTCGTCCTCGGACGGCGGCTGGCGAGGGTCATTCCGCTTTTGAAGGCCGAGGCGTCGTCTCGATGGACTCCTCCGCCGGGCTCCCTCCGGCCAGGGCTTCCCACCGCCGGCGCCTCCTCCTGAGCGACCAGCCCGGCCTCCGGAGCTCCCCCGACCTCCCTAGGAAGGGCCCGCCCGCAGGAAGGTAGGCCTCAGGCCTCTCTCCCACTTCCGCAATGGGCCCAAAAGCCTGGGCTTAGGAGTAGTTGGGGTTGGAGGTAGTTTTTCTCCGAGATCAGACCTGGACAAACTTCGGCCCTCCTGGTGTTTTGGAACACAATTCCCAACAGCCCGCAGGAAAGGGGGGCCTAATACTCTTAGGAATTATGGGAGTTGTAGTCGAAAACACCTGGAAGGCCAAAGTTTGATGCCTGTCCTAGATGATGGAGTATATTGGCCTCAGTCTCAACCAATTCCTGTTGTCTCAGCCCCATTCTCAACATTTGTTAGTCGGATGTCTAACCTGGGGACATCCTCTACAGCTTGTACCCATCTCTTGAAGGTTATTTCATACAGAATTGGGCTGCGGAATTGGTGCAATTGTCAGGGTCTAGTGCAGGGAGTGATAGTTTCTCCTGGCCCCAGGTGGCTGTAAAACTACACCTCCCAGGACTCAATAGTAGCAGTGAACCATGGCATTTCCAGGAGCTTTTAATTTGTACTATATTATATTTTGTAATGCATATTTTCTAGGCTTGGGCAATCCATGGTTCTAAATGGTTCTAAAGTACTTACAAAACTAAAGTTCTGGTGGTGAAAATTTCAGAACTCTAACAAAACTCTCAAAATTTCATAATAAATGGCAGTTCCTAATTGGTTCTGTCATTAAAATCACCAATAATGAAATAATAATTAATTTTGAAAGTTTTGTTAGAGTTCTGAAATTTTCACCACCAGAACTTTAGTTTTGTAAGTACTTTAGAACCATTTAGAACCATGGATTGCCCAAGCCTAGTGTTTACCTACAAACATAAAGAAATTACATATAGAATCAAAGTCTAAACACAAAACAGTTATTGTGTTGTTGTAGGGTTTTTTGGGCTATATGTCCATGGTCTAGAGGCATTCTCTCCTGACGTTTCGCCTGCATCTATGGCAAGCATCCTCAGAGGTAGTGAGGTCTGTTGGAACTAGGAAAAAGGGTTTATATATCTGTGGAATGACCAGGGTGGGACAAAGGACTCTTGTCTGCTGGAGCTAGATGTGAATGTTTCAGCTGACCACCTTGATTAGCATTTGATGGCCTGGCAGTGCCTGGAGCAAACTTTTGTTGAGAGGTGATTAGATGTCCTTGTTTGTTTCCTCTCTGTTGTTGTGCTGTTGTAATTTTAGAATTTTTTAATACTGGTAGCCAGATTTTGTTCATTTTCATGGTTTCCTCCTTTCTGTTGAAATTGTCCACATGCTTGTGTATTTCAATGGCTTCTCTGTGTAGTCTGACAGGTGGTTGTGAGAGTGGTCCAGCATTTCTGGGTTCTCAAGTAAAATGCTGTGTCCAGGTTGGTTCATCAGAGCACCACAGATATATAAATCCTTTTCCAACAGACCTCACTACCTCTGAGGATGCTTGCCATAGATGCAGGCGAAACGTCAGGAGAGAATGCCTCTAGAACATGGCCATATAGCCCGAAAAAACCTACAACAACCCAGTGATTCCGGCCATGAAAGCCTTCGACACAATCAGTTATGTTTCAGTTGCATCTTATACGCAAAGCCTGCGGGCAATTATATGAACAATGTTAGTAGTTCTTTATAGACTTGGGCATAAAACAAAGGTTTCCTCAATGTTGTGGAATTAAAATGTAGTTTGACACCGCTTTAACTACTGTGACTCAATGTTACAGGATACTGGGATTTGTAGTTTGTTCCTCTTTCTGCAGAGGAGGCCCAAGACCTTGCAGAACTACAACTCCACTGGTTCCCTAGCCTTGAGTCATGGCAGTTGAAGCAGTGTCAAGCTGCATTCGCTCTACGGTGTAGACGAGTGTTTCTCAACCTTCCTAATGCCGCAACCCCTTAATACAGTTCCTCATGTTGTGGTGACCCCCGACCATCATAACTGTTTCATAACTGTAATTTTGCTATTGTTGTGAATTGTAATGTAAATATCTGATATGAAAGATGTGTTTTCATTCACTGGACCAAATTTGGCACAAATACCAATATGCCCAAATTTGAATGTACTGGTGGGGTTGGAAGGGGGATTGATTTTGTCATTTGGGAGTTAGTTGCTGGGATTTATAGTTCACCTACAATCAAAGAGCATTCTGAACTCCACCAATGATGGAATTGAACCAAACTTGGCACACAGAACTCCCATGACCAAGAGAAAATAGAAGGAATTGGTGGGCATTGACCTTGAGTTTGGGAGTTGTAGTTCACCTACATCCAGAGAGCACTGTGGATTCAAACAATGATGGATCTGGACCAAACTTGGCATCAATATTCCATATGACCAAATATGAACACAGAGGAGTTTGGGGAAAATAGACTTGACATTTGGGAGTTGTATTGTTGGGATTTATAGTTCACATCAATCAAAGAGCATTCTGAACCCACCAACAACAGAATTGGGCCAAACTTCCCACACAGAACTCCCATGACAAACAGAAAATACTGTGTTTTCTGATGGTCTTTGGCAACTCCTCTGACACCCCCTTCCAACTCCCTGGGGGTCCCAACCCCCAGGTTGAGAAACGCTGGTTTAGACAAACCCTTTCTGTTCTCCCAAAGAAGCCTTGTAGCCAAGGGCGAAAAGCTGCCCCAAGGAATGTGGAAATGCCTGCACAGCTGACACTTGTGCCAATTCTTCATGGGCATAAAAATATACCCTTTGAATCCTTACCATTCCCACCGAGTTAGCAATTTCTTGCTTTATCTCAATTGTGTGCTGCAGAATGCTGTGAGATGACAGTAGTATTCTGAATTTTTACAGTTCAGTTGAAAGCTGCTTGCAAACGCTGGACGCAAAGAATGTCAACCTCCAAAGGACCTCCTCTTCTGAGTCTACAGATTCAGGTTTGCAGCCTCCCATGGGGTTGGGGTTACAAATGTTAAGGGGTTGTTTACTATGTCCATTTTCTTCCTAAATTGTGGTGCCCAGAATTGGAACACAGTATTGATCTGCAGCCATTATCACAGGGTCTCTCTTTTACAGGATGCTGTATGGATTCACCAGTTCTCCTTGGCATGAAAGACTTGGACGATGAAACGTATGTAGAAAATGTGCCTCCCCGTTTATGCTTTCGTGTGGCAACCTGGATTGACCATTCTGAGGGATTTCCTTCCCGTTAAACCAGAAATGGTTTTGGGACGGCTGCTGCTGAGAGTGTTCTCTTTATTCAGCCTGTTACAGGTCCACCGTACATAGAATTGCATATTTGTCAACAACCCTGTGGTATTTGGGGGGGGGGGGACCCAAACACATACTACTTTACTGTCTATACTCAGTATAAGCCTAGTTTTTCAGCCCTTTTTTTAGGCTGAAAAAGCCCCCCTTGGCTTATACTCGAGTCAAGGTTATTTATTATTTTACTCTATTATTATTATTATTGTTGTTGTTGTTGTTGTTGTTGTGTTGTGGGCTCGGCCTCATGTAAGCCGCATGGAGTCCCTTGGGGAGATGGTAGGGGTACAAATAAAGTGTTGTTTTTATTTATTGTTATTATTATTATTATTTATTTATTTATTATTGTTATTATTATTTTACTCTATTATTACTGTAGCTATTATTATTATTATTACATTTATTATTTTACTCTATCATTATTGCTATTTTTACATTCATTATTTTACTCTAATAATATTGGGAGGATACCTAAGCACATTTACATTGAAGAAGGTTAAAATAATGATTTAGTCAGAGTTGGACAGTCTTATCTTAAATTACAGTTTTATGTAAATATTAAAAAATATTTAACTTACAGCGTTTATATTCCGCCCTTCTCACCCCGCAGGGGACTCAGGGCGGATTACAGTGTACACATATATGGCCAACATTCAATGCCAATTTTTGACATACAACATATACAGACATAGACAGAGGCTATTTAACTTTTTCTGGCCGCCAGGGGAGCTGTCGCTTTCATCGTCCATCTGCGACACTGATGAAGTACTTCCGCATTCCCCGCATCCTTTTTGCTGGAGTGCTTTGCTGGAGTCTTCATAAATTAGTTAATTTTGCCTCCCCACACAAGGTGGTACCTAATTTTCCTACTTGACAGATGCAACTGTCTTTCGGGTTGCAAAGGTCGACAACAGGCTACACAATTGGTTGGAAGCCCACTCCAACCCAGGCTGGCTTCGAACTCATGACCTTTTGGTCAGCGTGATCTTAATGCAGCTGACACTCAGCCAGCTGCGCCACAATCCCGAAACCTACCGATTCCTCAATTAATGTAATTTAATTGGTATCTATATTTATTTTGCAATTTACCAGTAGCTGCTGCATTTCCCACCCACGGCTTATACTCAAGTCAATCCGTTCTCTCAGTATTTTTGTGGTAAAATTAGGTGCCTTGGCTTATATTCGGGTCGGCTTATACTCGAGTATATACGGGTATTTATTATATACTGTTTTGTGGTCTTCAGGAGCCCCACCAGTGGGTCCTAGGTGCTATATGTGACTTGCGAAGCCGCACTTCGCCCTTTTCCAACCTTCCCTTGTGCCAACGTAAGACTCCACAACTAAAATCCAATTATTTTGTGTCTCTGTTCTCCTTGTAGTTTTCGACTGCCTATGCGAAGAATGTTTTCCCTCCCGATATGAAAGCTAAGGAAAAGGAAGCAGTACTTATCTCCCTGGTCACATATTTCTCCAACGGAAATATTGCAATCGTTAGGCTCATTATAGCTTAATCTCTGGAAATTGTTGGGCTTGAAGCTTCTGAAGGTTTTGCAGAGCCCTTTAAACCAGGCATGGGCCAACTGGGGCCTTCCTTTCAAGTGTTTTGGCGTTCGACTCCCACCATTCCTAACACCTTCCTTTTCCCCCTCAGCTTAAGCGGCTGAGCGGGAAAAGGAAGGGGCCTCAGGCTGTTAGGAATGGTGGGAGTCGAAGTCCAAAACACTTGAAGGGAAGGTCCAAGTTGGCCCATGCGTGTCCTAAGGCGAAAATAGCTCAGTTTGCACTTCAAAGTGTGGTCTGTGAATAATTGCATAATGTAACTTGTCTCCCCTTTGAGAGTAAACAAAGGAGTCAAAACCTGACTGTGCCTCTGCTTCTTGGTCCCTTTTGCAGCACAGCCTTCTGGGATGCAGCCCTGCCCTCAAAAGAGGCCTGGATTTCCTCGGATGTGACGCCTTCCAGGCCTGTGGCCCCGACGAGAACAAGGAGAACGTGAGTCCATTTGCGTAGACCCGATTGTGCCTAACGCCATGTCTAGGGGAGATGGCTTTGCTCATTTATTATTTCTGCTCTACCCAATTCTGATGGTTCTTTGAGCAGACAATGGAAAGGTGGAAAGGGTAGGCTGTTGGGAATTCTGGGAGTTGAAATGCAAAGATACAGAATGGGGGACGCCTGGCTCAAGCGCAGTGCAGTGTTCCCTCACTTATTGCATGGGTTACGTTCCAGGACCTCCCACAATAAGTGAAAAACCGTGATGTAGGGATGCTCTATTTATTTTAATATTTATACATTATTTTAGTAGTTATACACTATTTTAAGTCTTTATAAACTTAAAGTGAAGGAAAGGCCCTTCAAGGATTGAGGAGGGAAAGTGCCTCAGAGAGTGGCAGCAGCAAAACCCCTCAAAACAGTGAAAATACAGCAATATATATTTTAAATTAATAATTTTTGAAAACCGCGAAACAGTGAATCTGATAAAAGCGAACCGCGAAGTAGCGAGGGAACACTGTACGTGTGAAAAAGATCTTGGGATCCTCGTGGACAGCAAGTTAAACATGAGCCAACAATGTTTTGGGGTGGCAAAAAAGCCAACGGGATTTTGGTCTGCATCAATAGGAGTATAGTGTCTAGATCTGTTGCACTCCAGGTCAGAAAAAAGGCCTCTGAATTTAAAACACCACACAATGAGTGAAGAAATAAATATTAATTTATTGAAGCTTAGTAAAAAGCCAGTAAAAATAAATGCCTGTAAGGAAATAAGAAGGTTCCAAAAAGTAATAAGTCAGTAAAATGCAGTAACACAAAGCAATGTCCACAAGATATAAAAGAAATTGCAAGGCAGTTTATCCAGACAGGAATCACTAGGAAGCAAAGACAATCCAAAAGGCTAAAATTCTCCACAGGAACAAGACCCCATGAACAGGATTTCCATGGCACAGGAACTTGATTTCCAAACGTTGCCTGATCTAACAGGTTTTCTCTTGAAGCAAACCTTATATCCCTAAAGCCAGAAAATGGTTTCGCTTTCTCCTACACTTGCCTCTTATTTGACAAAGTCTTTCGGAGCGACATAAACACTGAGTTTGCTACCGATCCTGGCTGATCTCCAGCCGCTTATCCTTCTTTGGAGGTTTTTAAAAAGAGGCTAGATGGTCATCTGTCAGGGGTGCGTTGAATGCAATATTCCTGCTTCTTTGCAGGGGGTTGGACTGGATGGCCCAAGTTTGCCCGTACCTGTAATAAATAAATGGTGATGGTGGTCCTGATTCACTTTGGCAGATGCAAATTTAAGTCTCCTTTTGACATTCTACTGGAGATAAATTGAAAAAGGCAGACTAAAGTTTTGGATTCTGGACTCTTAAGAGTGTAGTAGCAGCAGCCTCTCTTGCTCCCTTTTCTTCAGGAGCCTTTTCGAATTCAAGAAGCCGTCACAGCCCGTTTCTCGCAGCTGCCTCCGGACCTCTCCCATCAAGGATGAAAAGGATGCTTCAGAGCTGAGGCAGAAATTTGATACTGAATTTGTGGTATGTGTTATTTATTTATTATGTCAGAAGCAAATTGAGAGTGCAGTTATAATGTATTAAAAAACACAAACAAAGTTTAAAACTTGGCATTGTACTAAATTTTCTTTGACCAGAAACTGGCCACTTTGAGTGCCTCTGGTGTCGCTCCATTGTGCATGTGGCAGGGCTCAGGCCACGTTGTAGTAAGTGGTCTGTGGTTTGCTCTTCTCCGCACTTGCATGTCGTGGACTCCACTTTGTGGCCCCATTTGTAAAGATTGGTTCTGAATCTCATGGTGCTGGAGCATAGTCTGCTCAGTGCCTTCCAGGTCATCCATTCTTCTGTGTGCCCAGGAGGGAGTTTCTCACCCAGTCTCAGCCACTGATTGAGACTCCAGGTTTTGGCTGCCACTTTTGGACTCTCGTTGCTGAGGTGTTCCTGCAAAGTCTCTGTAGATCATAGGAAGCTGTTTCTTGATTTAAGGCATTGGTTTGCTGGCTGAACATGGGGTGGGCTGGAGATGTCACTGCCTTGGTCTTTTCATTACTGGCTGCTACTTCCCTGCAGATATTGTGTGGTGCAATACGGACTAAATACTATAATTTCTCCGGTGGAGTTGGATGTAGACATCCTGTGATAATGCAGCATGTCTCATTAAGAACCATACCCACTGTGTTAACGTGGTGAGACCTATTCCACATGAGCTTTGTCCCACTAACTAACAGGCTTCGGCCTACTCACTCTCCTCAGGACAACACTAGCTTTGGCCCACTAACTGTGACAGGCTTCAACCTTCTCAGTCTCCTCAGGAGGACACTAGCTTTGGCCCACTGACTCTTAACAGGCTTTGGCCAACTCTTTCAGTGCCTGACTCACACTTTTGTAATCAAAAATAGCTAGTTAATATTTAATCTTTCTGACATGTTTTTTTCTGGGTTGTTGTATTTTATGATGGTGTTTCTGTCTCAATTGATGGTTTTGCTTTTATGCCTTGTGGACGTTCTGTCCCGTATGTAAGCTGCCTTCAGGGAGATGGAGGTAGGGTATAAGAATAAAGTTGTTGTCATTGTTATCATCATCATAAAAAAACCCAAACGTGAGTGTCCAAATCCCCTTGCTTGTCCAAATCCCCTTGAGTCCCCTTTGGGGAGATGGTGGCGGGTTATAAATAATGTTTATTATTATTATTAGAAACACAAAAAGATGAGTCCACAGCAGACACTCTGCTGGCTGTTGAATTGGATCACACATCAGACACTTCCCAAGTGTCTAGGACTGTGTGATGTAGCGAATAATGCGTGCAGATCCCAGTAAGGTGGCCTTCTGCAGCTGGCAGATGGTAATTTTGTCAGCGCCGATTGTGTTTAAGTGCAGGCCAAGGTCTTTAGGCACTGCACCCAGTGTGCTGATCACCACTGGGACCACCTTGACTGGTTTGTGCCAGAGTCTTTGCAGTTCGATCTTTAAATCCTCATATCGTGTCAGCTTTTCCAGTTGTTTCTCTTCAATCCTGCTGTCACCTGGGATTGCAATATTGATGATTCATACTTTGTTTTTTAACATGATTGTGAGGTCAGGAGTGTTGTGCTCCAGAACTCTGTCTAAATCCGGAAGTCCCAGAGGAGTTTGGCATGTTCATTTTCTGTAACTTTTTCCGGCTTGTGATCCCACCAGTTCTTTGTCACAGGCAGATGGTGTTTGTGGCACAAGTTCCAATGAATCATCTGAGCAAGGGTGTTGTGCCTCTGCTTGTACTCTGTCTGCACCATCTTCTTGCAGCAGCTGAGGATGGGATCTATTGTTTCATCTGCTTCCTTGCAGAGTCTACTTTTGGAATCTGTTGTCGACTTTTCAATTCTGGTTTTATTTATTTATTTATTTATTTATTTGATTTTAGTTTCCTAGTGAGGAAGTTCCTGGAAAAGACCCTGGAAGCTTCAACCCGGCCTTTCAGAGACGGCGTTCCCAAAAGTTCACCGAGGCGGAGGAGGATGAGGACGACGGATTCTTAGAGATCATGGATGGTCCGGATGCCAGCGTAAGTAGCAATCATTCAATTAGGAGGAGGAAGGAAGCAACTTTAATTAATTTTATCTGCAGCAGAATTAGAAGTGCAGAAAGTGGGAGTAGTGAAAATTGCCTTAACGGTTGCCTTGGCCACTGTATTTTGATGATAATACACTCCTAGTTTTGCATGCGTACACTTCATTAACTCATGCAAGTGACATGGATGTAGATGTCCGCTCTCTCCTGATCCGGGACAGACAGGACCTTGTATCCTAAAGGGAAAATCATTCAAGGTTTACTGTCCAAAGGTTTATTATCAACCAGGCATGGGCCAACTTTGGGCTTCCCTTCAGGTGTTTTGGACTGCCACTTAAAGTCAGTGAGCAATCAGTTCGGAGTAAGTTAAGCCCTTGCTGTTGCTGCCGGTTGGGTCTTTCCTGCGCCATAACTGATCTTGTGCCTTCTTTCCTCTAGAACAACAAAGAGAGGCCTTCGGACGTGGCGAGTCTTTGGACGGCCCCCTTAGTGATGAAGAACGGAGAGGGCACCCATGTAAGTTGACCACCTTGATATTTTTTGGAGCTTGAAGATAACATTCAAACATCTCATATTTGCTTTAAGTAGCAGTTTAAGAACTCAGTTTTTGAGGCTGAATTCTTGCACACCTGTTTTCTCAGGTGCAAAGGACCTGATGCACAACTCATAAACTCTTGAAATAGGTGCATCCTCAAGGCCTCTGGTCGGAGCATGTTTGCCTGATGCTGGTTTTGAGCATCTTCCCCTTTTCTGTGCTGAATCTTTGTAACCCAAACCATCTGCACCAGCCTTGTTTCTTTACCTGGCGCTTGGATCTCTCCTGTATATATTTGAGTATAGGCTAAGTTTTTCAGCCCCTTTTTATGACTGAAAAATCCCCCCTCGGCTTATACTCAAGTCAAAGTTATTTATTATTTTACTCTATTATTATTATTATTATATTTATAATTTTACTTCATTTATTATGATTATTACATTTATTTTACTCTGTTATTATTGTTATTACATTTATTATTTTACTCTATTATTATTATTACATTTATTATTTTACTTTATTATGGTTATTACTTTTATTTTACTCTGTTATTACATTTATTATTTTACTCTATTATTATTATTACATTTATTATTTTACTTTATTATTATTATATTTATTTTACTCTGTTATTGTTAGCACATTTATTATTTTACTCTATTATTATAATTTTATTTATTATTTTACTTTATTTATTATGGTTATTACATTTATTTTACTCTGTTCTTATTGTTATTACATTTATTATTTTACTCTGTTATTATTATTACATTTACATTATTTTACTCTGTTTATTATTATTATTACATTTACTATTTTACTCTATTATCATAATTACATTTATTATTTTACTTTATTTATTTATTATGGTTATTACATTTATTTTACTCTGTTCTTATTGTTATTACATTTATTATTTTACTGTTTATTATTATACAGGGTTAGTCAAAATGAATAGGCCAATAAGAAAATTAATTTTAG